AGTACGATTTACCAGAGCCCCGAAACTACAAATTTATTGTAACGAACCCTGGACACGGCGAGTATACCCCAGCATTGTAGAAGAAGCACCGGGGCAACCAAAACGCTTCGTTACAATTGGCGTCCGAGCAGGGACTCTTGGTAGATCGTACGCGTGCAAAAAAAAATTATTATATGTTTGATACGAACAAAATGGCGGAGGTAATCAACACAGCATGGCTAGATGGTATACCCAAGGAGCAACTAATATCCATCGCACAGGAATTGGGGATCGAGTGCGTGGGTACCGCCCGAGAAATACGCAAGCGCATAACGGCGCTGGCGGTCAAGGCGCACACCAACCCAGAGAGAGAACAGAGACAACGAGGTTGCCTCGGAAGACGATGATGAGCAGAATCCACAAGAAAGGCGACCCCACCATACGCGCCAACTACCGCGCTATAAGTCACTCATCATGCCTGTGCTGGTGTATGGCGAGAGAAGGACTTAGCTTCACTTGGCAATTCCAATTGGCGTCAGTTAGCACAGAAGAGAAATGATTGGCGTGCTGTTTTGGACTCGGCCAAAATCGCTTAGGCGGTTACAGCGCCAATAAAGAAGAAGAAGTTACCAAAATGACAGCTGATTAAATCCGGCAAAAAGCTGTCTTACCAATGATTATATCAAGATATAAAAAGCCCACACAAATATTGCCACTGATAACTTATATCTAGTGACCAAACTGACAGCTGGACACATTAAGGGCCGGTTGTTCAATGTCTGGTTATCACTACCACTACACTATCGACGATTTCGACATCATGGAATTAACATGTGATCGATAATGCAGTCGGTGTACTTCACCGGAGCTTCTACCTCCAATTTGTGCTAATCAGACATTGAACAACCGGCCCTAAATTGAATCCTGTGGAGACGGCCATTCCCGCAAGCGAGAATTACCAGCACGTGAAGACGGGAACAGAACACCTTTCTGCGTAGGCGGTATCGGCCGCACTTATAGGGAATTTCCATGAGGCGATTTTTCAGGCGATTTTTAGTTGAAAGAAACAATCGCCTGGTGTAAACGGCCTTTCAACTAATCGCTTTCAATGAAGTTGGTCGGCTGCCTACTTTTGTTCAACTTTTGGTTCAACTAATCGCCTGTGAAAGTTGAATCATGTAAATTTCCTACTGGGGTTTGTAAACTTTTTTTTATAATTATTTTACATTAATTCAATTTTTGTTAGACCTATACAACGTATGTATAAAGTACGGAAACCAAATTGAAGGAAATCAAATTTCCTATTAAATGAAATCAAATTTTTCAAAATTAGCATATTTTGAACTTTAACCTTTGATAATTGTTGTTGTTGTTGTTTCCCCAAAAGAAGAAGTATACCGTTATACTCAGCTCAATCATATCTATCGATTCCATTTTTTTTTAATGTGAGATTTACCTACCGTCTTCACATGCTTGCAAATCTCGCGTGCGTTCTGCTTTTTTCTCTCGCAAGCGAGATAGAGTTTTGTTGACTGTGCATTTGACGGCATACTTTTTCATTTGTAAAATGTCGCCAAACAAGAAGGTTCAAGCCTTGCAGCCTCTTAAAAGTTTGAGAAAATTAGAAAATCTGCATAAAGAGATGTATACTATTTTCAAAAGAAAAATGGCTGCCTCTAAATTTGTATTTGCCTCCAAAATAAACGATGTTGCTAGCCTGAAAAATTCTGCGAAATGAGAACATAGCTGTCAAACAACAAAAATGACAGTTGAAAGCAAGCGAGAGCTCGCATACCGCTCGGTATGCGAGAAAAAGCATGCTTCGCACTTTTTGCGGTTGTTGTTGTTGTGCGGCTTCTCGCATAGGCCGTCACGCAAGCGAGATTTTCCAGCACGTGAAGACGGCCGGTTAGAGCCAAACTGCATTTGTTCTGATAATACTAAAAAATAAATCGATAGTAGCGAAAAATAAAAAACTTAGATACTATCGATAATTTTGTAGATCCAATAATTACAAAATTAAAATTTAGCCAGCAAATCAGTAAAAATATAAGAAATAGGAAATTTTATTCTTACCGCCTTAACATTTTTTGTCTTGCAGTAGGCGGCTAATAAACCACCGCGTACTATGTCTTTTTACGGATAACTGCACTAATGATTACCATCGCTAATTAATTTGGAAACAAACAATTTTTAACGTTTCACAATGACGAATAGGTGGAAAAAATATATATTGTGGTTTGCACAAGAGCATTTAGATTTTCGTGTTGCAGTACGTATAGATACTTGATTCAAGCTTTAGCAAATATTCGTAAATACATATGTATGTACATACATGTAATTACTTTTATATTCCTATAGGAATTTAACTCCATTCTTAAGCTATTTGGCTTGAAACATAAAAAATTGGACATAAATTTAATGGTATGTAACAAATATTGTAATGGTTACCAATACCCCATTCATAATTTCTTTTGAAGAAACCGTTTTGGATAGTTGAGTTTCCTAATGATGAAGAGGTTATGAAATTAGCTTCCCGTTCTGTGAGCCTGCGAAGTGTCTATGAGTTGTGGTCTCATTCTAAACACCTGGGTAGTTTCCATGAAAAATTAGGAAATTTCATTGCAAATAACGAAGATCTAGTTGAACCATATACCAAAAGTACATTTAAGATTGTTGTTGAGACCTACAATAAACATATTTCGCAAAAAGAAAAAGTAGAAAAAATAGAGACACTGGATTACCTGCCACTACATGGCGCTGTGGACCTAAAAGCTCCTCAAAACGAATGGTGTTATATTGAGTTTTATGGGCTCGACCCATCAGCAGTGTCGCCAGAACCAGAGGATGTACTGTTTGGACGTTTAGTAAGTAACTATCGACATTAAGATTAACTTATAATTATATTTATTTATTTATTCTTCTCTGAAGATTGCCAATGGCCAGCGAGAACTCATTAAAGAGCTTTCATTGAAAAAACGTAAATTTATCGGCAATACTAGTATGGATGCACAACTAAGTCTTCTAATGGCAAATCAAGCACTGGTTAAAGACTATGATTTAGTTTTAGATCCGTTTGTAGGTACTGGATCCTTATTGGTGAGTGCCGCAATTTTTGGGGGTAGGTAGACTTAGTACAAAAATAATGTTAGCAGGCTCCATTTATGATTCATTTCATAGGTTATGTACTTGGTACTGATATTGATTTTATGATGCTCCATGGACGTTCACGGCCAAGCCGTATAACACAGAAAGTGCGGGAAAAGGATGAGAGAGTTCGCTCTAATCTTGAACAATACGGTTGTGGGGATAGATACCTCGATGTAATTATATCGGATTTTTCTAAGCCCCTCTGGCGCGAAGATATAAAACTCGACGCCATTATAACAGATCGTAAGTCAAATACATATACATATTGTGGTGTGGTTAAAAACGTTAATTTTATGTATTTCAATTATCTCTTTAACAAAATAATATACATGCTTTCAGCAAGAAGAAAAATTCTGAAGTAATCAAAAATTTTCTTTTTGATTTACATAAATTGAAAAAGAACTTAATTCAATAATTTCAAAAATAACAAAGTAAAAAAATGAACAAAGTACAATAGTAAATAGTATTAACACTACAATACTCCCCCTTCCAGAATCTTAATTTTCATTTAACGTATTTTAAGTTTCAAAGAAGAAAAAATTCTGAAGTAACCAAAAATTTTCTTTTTGATTTACATAAATTGAAAAAGAACTTAATTCAATAATTTCAAAAATAACAAAGTACAAAAATGAACAAATTACAATAGTAAATAGTATTAACACTACACATATGTACCCACACATATGAATATACAAAGTTTTCAATTTATTTGATGTCTTGGCTTGGTAAATTAACTAGTAAGATTTTGCTGTATTACCCTGCATTTACATATATACTACCTGTTTTATAACTTTAAAGTTGTAACATTTCAAAGTCATTATTTCGTCTTATTTATTATATTTACATATGCACTTATCAAGCACCATATGGTATTCGTGAAGCCACTGAAAAAGTAGAGACAAAGAAGACATCAAAGCAAAATACCAGAATTAAAGATATGCCTCATTATCCGTCTACTTCTCATTATGCCTTAAAACACCTTTATCATGATCTTCTTAATTTTTCTGCACAACATTTGAAAGTAGGCGGTCGTTTGGTGTGTTGGCTGCCGTACCATCGGTTTGTATCAACAGGTACCAAAAATATATAAACATTTGAACATCATCCCAATTTTTATAGGGAAGACTATAACCATGACATGATTCCACAACATGGCTCTCTTATGCTGGTAGCCAATTCGGAACAACCTCTTTCAGGACTTACATCTCGTCGGTTACTCACATATGAAAAACTTGATGTGCTTTATACAAAGGAGGTTGCGCAGCCTGCATGTACCTTTCCGATCTCACTCGATTTTCGGGACAGGTATTTCAACAATGGTCTGGAATCTCGCACCGAAAGACGCTTACGCAAAGCAGAGCAACGTGAACTCGGTCGCATTGAGGCCCTTAAAAGAGGTAAAGCTGTAATTGACAGCAAAGAGTTGAAAATTAATTTAAATAAATCATGTTTTACGTAGTACATTACAATTAAATTTTTGTACAATTTCTTATATTGTGCCGATTAGATAACAAAACCCATTCACAGCATTAGGTACATATAAGGCCATTAGAGCAGAAGTGGCCTAACTCACAATTTCTTGTTTTATACTTAACTTTGTAAAGAAGTTTCAAATAAATTTTAAAATAAATTCCCATAATCCTTAATTGAGGATAGACTTTGTACGTTAAAATTAAGGAATGAGCGACTGTTATTTTGAAATGTAACACGTTTGAGACTATTTTAAATAGGTAAGTACAAAAAAATTATTTTGGGTTAGCCCACTTCTGCTCTCACGGCCTAATATGTACATACATATATAAGAATGAAATTTTGGGGTCACTTTATTTTTGATTAAGACTATAAAAGTTGAGTGAGAAGAAAACAACCGATTTAAGCTTTACAATTTATTTGGCATCCGAAATGTTCAGAGAAACACTTAACAAATACATTTGAGGCTTCCTCTACGCCTACATGCCGTTTCAGTTCCCGACTCAATGAAGTTACTCCCTTTCCTTCAATACCACAAGGCACAATATGGTCGAACCAATGTAAATCTGTACAACAATTAAGGCCAATACCATGAGTGGTAACATATCGGGAGCCATGTACGCCTATAGCACAAATCTTGTTATTCCCCACCCATATGCCTGTATCTGATGTCGCAGTTGCCTGCAAAACGCCCATGTTACTACAAGTTGCAATAACAGTCTGCTCCAGTGTTGCAACATACCACCGCATTTTTGGTTGGAATTGACGCAAGTGAATTATAGGATATGCGACCAACTGACCGGGTCCATGAAATGTGATTAAACCGCCACGATTTGTACGATAGAATTCAGCTCCCAGCTTGCGTAAACGTCGTTCATCTTCTTCGGTGTAATTCTTTGTTCGTATTCCTATAGTATAAACAGGATTGTGTTGCTGCAGAATAAGATAATTACGAAAGTTTTCCCAATCTTCAGCATTTTGAGTACTCAATTGTTTTTGTATCCTCAATCCAGAATTATAATTGTGCTGTCCAAGGCGAATCAAATTAACGACAGGTTTAATTTTTTTCATCGCTAATCGCGTTTAAAACGTAAACTACTACATTTTGTAAAAAATTTAAGATTTATCAAATGGCAACTGATCAGCTGTGTCCATAATGTGTGCATGCACGGTGCAGCGAACAATATTAGGGGTATTCTCTGAGTCTTGCAAAGCCCTTGCGCGGTGCACAGATTGCACGGAAAAAACCGGGTTTCGTATAGGACAGCTTTGCAAACCGTGCAATCCGTGCACCTTGCAAGGGTTTTGCAAGACTCAGAGAATACCCCTATTCTATCATTCTTGGTTTGGTCCCATGAACGAAAGACACAAGATCACGTAAGAACAAGAGAGTGAAAAAAGTCGATTTTTTAGCGGCTTCTACGCCATCTTGTTTCACTGGAAAACGAGCGAAAAGTAAACAGCAAAGAAAATAACGAAAACCAAAATTAGCCAAAACTATTGTCAGCCACTTTAAACGCTGAATTTAGGTAAAATCATGCAACAAAATGCTTTAAAATTTGTTGTCATGTTGAATTAACTCTTCTTTACTTGAATAAAAGTGTAAAATAGTGGTGCTTGTGATGTAAACAAACGCTCAGCTGACGAACCATGAACCAAAAATACAAGATCACGTAAGAACGCGATGTTGTATTTGTAACTGGTTTTGAGAAAAAAGTTTGCGAAAGCGGGTTCGTCAGCTGAGCGTTTGTTTACATCACAAGCACCACTGTTTTACACTTTTATTCAAGTAAAGAAGAGTTAATTCAACATGACAACACATTTTAAAGCATTTTTTTGCATCATTTTACCTAAATTGTGCGTTTAAAGTAGCTGACAATAATTTTGGCTAATTTTGGTTTTCGTTGTTTTCTTTGCTTTGTTTACTTTTCGCTCGTTTTCCAGTGAAACAAGATGGCGTAGAACCCGCTAAAAAAATGGACTTTTTTCACTTTCTTGTTCTTACGTGACCTTGTGTCTTTCGTTCATGCTGACGAACCCGCTTTCGCAAATTTTTTTCTCAAAACCAGTTACAAATACATCGCTTTCTGTATTTTTGGTTCATGGTTTGGTCCCCGAGGAGTACTTTTGGGTTGTGTGCAGCGTTTTCGTTTTGTACGCACGGCAACACTTACTGTGGGGAATTTCGCCTTATTGGTTAGAAAAAGTTCTTTTAGTGGATAAAATATACATAATTATACCTTTTATAGTTTTCACAAAAATCGAGTTAAGGTATCCACACAACAATGCCGACCATAGTTTGAACCACACACTTATGCGATTTTGCTGCAGCGATTTATTCGAACATTCACAGTTCTTCTTTTGGTCGTCCTGAAATCGCAGACTCCGCGTTTTGAGAACGAAAAAGGTCAATAGAAGGATTTCACCAAGGCGAATTCATATAATTCAACAAATACAACAATTACTTGTATTTTGTTTTTGCTTTTAGCTGGTGATTTTCAAATTTCAGCTATTCTACTCCGAATGAAAAAGGGCGACAGAAAATACAAACACTCTCACGTTTTCACTCACTCACTAGCAAAATATAAAATTTTGACAATCAAACGCTACACACAGCTGATTAAACAACACCACCTTATATAAATTCGCCTTGGATTTCACAATATTAAAGCAAAATTGAACGTAAAAAAGCAAGACATACTTGGAGCGTGTGTGAATTGGTAACAAAGTTCGCGGCGAGTAAATTTTTGACAACTAGCAGGTGAATAAAATTTCAGTAGCTTATGAGGCTAGTGAAATTTTTGACAAATGAATAGAAAATTTTGACAATCGCAAAGATTGTTGATGTGTGAAATTTTTCGTTAAATAAAAGCTTAAATTGATGAATTGCGATCAGTGATGTTAGATGTTTTCTTAAAATATTAATTTCACTTCGATTTGTAATATTTTATGCCGCATAAATCTGCAGTTATCAAATATTTAATGCTGTCAAAAACGATTTCATTTCACACAGCAAATTGGCAAAACTCTCTCACCATAGTAACACAGTTTTCCCCATAGAACTTTGTTACCGATTCACACACGCCCTTGATGTAGAAAAGTTAAGAATTTTATATTTTTTTTAAATACTTTTTGTTTGTCTATAAATTGACAGTTTTTACTACGATAAAATCGCGCAGATGTGTTACATGTTCTCAGGCTGGAGTTATTGAGCTAGCGCCAAAAAAATTGCGCTATTACTCATGGCTAGTACCAATGGTGTTGCTCGTTTCATTTAGACTGCTTTTACACAGTTTAAGTATTGAATTCAATTCTGCTCGCATGTGGAAGAGAGGGGGTGAGAAGAAAAGGGACGAATACACATGCGCTCTCTCCCATGATTCAATAATAAAAGGTTCGATAAACTGACAGTTGTCTCTCTCGCACCGCTCCCTTAGCAGTGGCACCGTGTTGCTTCTTTGCAAATTTACATGGAAACAGTGTAGCTTTGGTGTGAAATAAAAGTATAAGCTTTTGTGCAATATGTTTATTTGTATATGCATATTTTGTAAGGGAGTGTCAAACCGCAGCTGTCAATAATTATCTAACCTTGTATTATTGAATCATGGCTCTCTCCGACAAACATCGAGTTGCGGCAACAAAAATCGCCGTGTGTAAATGAAACGAGCAACACCAAAAGGGAATGTGAAAAATCGCGTCGACAAAAGTTTCCGTGTATAAACGCAGGGGCACCGAGTTGCTCGTGCTCGGGCAACACGCTTTGTGCTCTCGTTCGTCTGTGTAAATTGAACCGCTGTTCACAGCTGTAGTTGAACGTAGGTGTACATATACATACCTATATGTATGCAGTGAAAACTTCTTTATGAATTAACGAAAATTGCTACAATGCAATTGTTGTTGTCAGCTGTAAATGAGCAAATCATGTTTATTTTTTTTAATAATTTTCATTTAAAATATAGTTCAATCTGTAACAAAAACCACAATAATAAAAGTTTTAAAAATTGCAAAAAAAATCAAACTTCAAAAAATTGTCATCAAATTTTCAAATTCTTATTCAGGACATTTAGAAAATGTCCCTCCACAAAAGAAGTTCTAAAACATCAACGGTAATTTTTAACGACTTGAGACTTGCCCTTTGTTAGACTACAATTGAATTGGGCACAGAACTGCATATCCGAAAATTTTCTTAATACATATTTTGATCAAAATTTGGAAATTTTGATCACAATTTTTTAATTTTAATCATTATTTTTTTTTGCATTTTTGCAATGTTTGAAACTTTTATTATTGTGATTTCTGTTACAGATTGTACTATATTTTAAATTAAAATTAATAAAAAACACATAAACATAATATGCAAACAATATCATTTTGAATTTCGTTTCTAATTAGTGGAACGCAGGTGTATGTATGCATACAGATAAACCCTATCTTGGTTTAATTTTCACAGGAAAAAGTATTTAGTTAAATTTAATAATTTTAATATTGCATTTTAAAGTCGGTTCACTTTAGTTTCTTTTATTAAAAAAAAATTCTATCGCAAAATCTATTGCGTTGCTCCTTTGATCAAGCAGGTGCGAACTTGTGAAGTAAGTGGTGAAGTGTGCAATAAGTGGTGAGAGCTGTGATTTGCACAGTAAACTTTACCATGTAAAGTTCACCTCGGTTCTTATGATAAGATTTTAACTTCTAGAGCGCATGCGTTTACCCCCATCTCCCAAAGAATATTAATTTGGAAAGAAATTTTCATATTCACATTCTCCAAAATTAGGTAGACAGATATTTTTTAAGAAGACCAGTGCAAGTGTTCTTGGTAAATTAACCTTCACAATTATAGCAAAAAATTATATGAATAATAATGCACTCGCAAATACTACTGCAATCTTGGAATGAAATAAAATAAAACATTTTAAAATCAGTAAACATCAGAAAGCATTAACCTACTGTAAAGTCAAAACTAGTTTGAGTGCGTACATAACGAAAAATCAATTTTGTGTCCAGTCAAATCAAAAGAAGAATAATAAGTACCGTGATTGAATCAGTGATTATTAAGTTTAACAATCTCTTGTAAATTTAATATTGTAATATATACAATATATATATCGAGCCCTATCAACCAAAATAACGTAAGCTAAATTTTTTTCACAATTTAGTTTTTGATGCAGAAATATTCCTAGAGCATCTAGATGCATTTCTGCATCGAAAACAAAATTAAAAAAATTACGCTTACGTTATTTTGGCGGTTAGGGCTCGATATACATCCAATATACATATGTCTAAACTATTTATATAAAAAAATTTTATAAATCTGTATCGATAGAAGTGTACAACGAAATTCAGAAAGCTGTAAAAAACATTTCTGTCTATAGTGGAAATTTCACCACACTTGATGAAATTGGGTTGCCACAATCCAACGCAGCAACCCTATTTCCAAGAAAGGAAGAGAAATGTCAAACTAGCAATGGCAAATATTTTAGATACAAAGCATCCTAAAGAGTTCTGTGTTTTATTTAAAGAAAAATATATAATTATTGTTCTTAACGAATAAACCGTTGGAAAATGGGACTAAATAAATAACTAGATTTTGGTAAGATAAGTAAATGAGCAAACGATATCAGTTGCATCATAAATTGATGTTTTATTTGCTAACAAAAATGTCTACTTGCAGGTGTATGCATAAGTACATACATTTTTTTATGCACATTAGGGGGAAACTCCTACATATATGTGTGTTGGTCAAAGATACGGTCGGAGGGGTGGGGGTGTGTCCATTTACAAAAATGCCCCGACTGTCTAGGCCCCCTATGGGTCCCTGTGGAGCCTTACAAAAATAGGCAAAAATCACAATTTTTGCTTGTTTTGACTAGATGAAGACACTGATTTGAACCTGTCCGTGTGAAACCATGGTAAAATTATTCACAGGTATTGTCTTCCCAGAGAGTTTTGCTTCACATCGATATTCGTGCTCCCTTATTTTCATTTTGACGCATTTTGATGTTGATTCTTTACTTTTATTCGGCTTTGCTTTTGTTTTTGCTCTGTTTAATTTCTATAATGGCAGAATACCTATAATTCTCAAATCGAGAAAATGTATACGGAGATTGATAAGAGATCATTGAGGTGAGCGTAGCGGTATAATTATGTATATACATATATATATTTTTTTTTGGAAACAACAACTACAAGAGTTATTAACGGTAAAAGCTCAAACTAAGTATTTTTTAAATATAAACTTTTCAAAAACCCTTTAATGGATTTCATGGAGCATTTAACTCTCTTTAATTTGATGTACATATGTTGTATACGCCATGTATACGCCTTGTATAGTTTTCACAAAAATCTAATTTATGTAAAAAATATACTTAAAAAATGTTTACAACCCCATTTTTTTAATCACCTTATTAGTTACACGAAAAAGTTCTGGAAAAATATTTGGCAACTTTGGTATTCCGAGTTCCGTTTCCTTTCGATCAATCTTAGAAATTTACGATTATACCTATTCTACATTTCGATCGGAGTTCCGTTTTCTAAGTTGCAAATTGGTTGACGGAGAACGTTTCGATTGTTATTTTCGTGTGTTTAAATAATAAAATTTTATAAAAAAAATTAAGTAAAATATACTGTGCATGATTGTAAGTCATCATAAATGAATTTTCTCGATTTCTGTGTTTTCGCAGCGGTAATACGGCAATACGAAAACTTGGCTCAAATATTAACAACCAAAAGGGATATTGCGCGAGGTTTTCAAAGAGGAAGCACAGGCGTTTTTATTTTCATTATCTATAAAGTAGACTGAAATGCACTGAATACAATTTATTCTTTGGAGGCAGCTATTGGGTCCATGTATTTCTCCTTATGTAGCGAATATATATTACGCGTTTGAAGCAAATCGGATAATAAATGCGATTTTTAGCGTAGCTCGACCCCTGCGCCACCTATCGGAAAAATTAAAATTTTGTGCACTCCTAAACACCTTTTCCAGAAAGCAACTACCATTCGACTCTGTTAAGAAACATAGGACAAAATTGTTCCCAATTGATTTATGCTCACCATGAAGCTCACTATTTTCCAAGCTTCACAACGATTTTTCCACCTTTACGTCGTCCAAAATCATCAAGTCATGCGATAAAATGCAAAATTTCGTCGAAAAAAGTCAAATTTTTCGCGTTCTTCCGTAATTTTCCGAGTCTTCCACTAAGAATTTTTTATTTTTCCAGTCGGAAAGCCATTCCGAAACATTGGCACACAAACTCCATATAAAAAATTAATTTTTGATTTTTCCAATTTTCCGACGTTTCCGGAAGGTTTTCCCAAAAATTTGTATAGATACATATATGTACATTTTACTATAAATTTTTCACACCATTTATATATGTATATATAGATATATATATATACTATGGATGCCAATCCCGGGATCCCGGTGTTTTGACGTCCCGGAAATCCCTTGATTTGCTTGCATTAATCCCGGGATCCCGAAAATTTTGAAATATCGAATTGATAGTAAGAATTTGTTTATGAATTTTGAAGTATGATTTTTGTAAAATGCCGTTTTGACTGCAATTAACAAAAAGCTTGAAACTGTACTTTTAAATTGCAGTCTGAGCCTTTTTTAAAGAAGATTTCAATGAATTTACTCATAGCGTCGCTAATGTAAACGAAACAAAGAGTTTTAAGGTAAAGTTAGATAATTTTTTAGATCAATCTACTCAAAACTTCCTTAAATCGAAAAACTTATAATTTGACCGACGTGCTGGTAAAAGAATTTCAAATATTTTGTAATGGAGGAGATAGGGGTCATTATCTTCAAGTGGATTATGTCTACCTTTTGAAAGTTCAGCCTAAAAGTGTTGATGCCGAAATATGTTTTTCATCAGTAGGTTTTGTATGTAAAAACTGCAGGTCAAGCTTAGAAGACTCCGCTTTGAATGCTTTGCTGCTCTTACGAAAACATTTTAAGTGCAATAATAACAACACCGGCCAAAAAAGGGCTGTGTGTTTTTAACCAGATCCAACTACCAACATGTATTTCGTTCCCACGACAGTCGGGTCTACGTAACCGGAACGACCCAGATTTATATCTGGCCAAGGACTGTCACTCCAGCAACACTCCCCAAAAGTCTTTGGGGAATTTGTATGCTGCTACAACAACAACAACAACCAACATGTATTTCGACCTGCTGAATCCGATTCTGAGATCCGTTTGACTCGTACACCCTCAAAATTTCTAGCAAATTGCCAAAAAAATGGCAAAAAATTCTCCATTCGCCATTTCTTTATAGAGTAGAATAAACATGTTTAGAGAAATTGTTTTTTTTTATATGTTTGTTTTATGTTTTTTTATTAATCGTTACTTTCAAAAGTACCTGGTATTTAAATTATTATTTGGGATGTATACGTTCCTCAATCACATGGTTTTTTAAATACAATTAAAAAAATTGTTTACATTAAAATTTGTCTGATTGAATAAATAAATGTCGCAAGCGTAGAGCGCAAAGTTGCTAAGTGCCAATGTAAAAATTGTACAGGAGAGGAAAAAACTTCGTATAGCCATTTTCTTCAAGTATTTCGCAAAAATTTGAATACAACATTTTGCCTGTTTAAATCAAAGCAAAACTCCATACGAATCAGAGGGACTCGATCTTTATAAAAAGATTTAGAACTTTTTTGGCCTTATCGAATTTTCGCAGCTTTCNTTTTCGCAGTTTTTTTGGCCTTAGCAAATTTTCCTTTCATTGAATATAAACGAGAAAACATAAAACAAGGACCTTTACCCTTTTCGAAACGATGCAATTTTAATTTATCTAGCCTCCTATATCAAAATATGATTTTTTATTAAAAGTGAAGTTAGCAACTTTTCACTCTAAGCTAGCGATATATGAGTTTAACAACCAAATCCGGGAAGAAAACATGCATTTTATGGCGAGTATATTTCTTATTTTGTAATCAGCGCCACCAGTGGTTCCATTTTTTGCAAATCTATGTCTTACTACGTTTCTACTAACATGACAAATGTGAAACAAATCAGAGCATACATACGGTTTTTCAAAATGTCCCGACCTTGACTCCACCGAACGAGAAAATTTTTGGCGAAAATGTTTCTGCTTACATATATATATATATATATATATATATATATATATATATATATATATTATAAAAAGCAACCAAATCGGCCTATATATAAGTTAAATATAGGACTTTTATTTTTTTTTCGCGGTCGACTTTCGGCTGGAAACTCCCATATGCATCTATCAGGGACCAGAAACACTTGCACACACAAATATGCTCATATTTTCTCACTAAATATCGAATAATTTTTGACATCAACATTTTTCTTGCTACGGTCGTAGCTATTCGAATTCNATATATATATATTATAAAAAGCAACCAAATCGGCCTATATATAAGTTAAATATAGGACTTTTATTTTTTTTTCGCGGTCGACTTTCGGCTGGAAACTCCCATATGCATCTATCAGGGACCAGAAACACTTGCACACACAAATATGCTCATATTTTCTCAATAAATATCGAATAATTTTTGACATCAACATTTTTCTTGCTACGGTCGTAGCTATTCGAATTTAGTGATAGAATTTTTCACGAAAAATCGGACTCGGTGATAGGCCCGATCAAGTATGACTCATTTACTTAAATACTGTCACAAATTAGAAGACGAAGATTTGAAGCTAATGAAGTAGCATTACTCGTTATAACATGTTTCATATTGTGTAAAAATTGCGTGCAAAAATGTTATGTTGCTTTCGCGTTGCATTTCTATTTTCTGCATTTTGGGAGTAAATTAAAAACTTTTAACGCGCCTCCTGAAAAACCAAGTTTTTTGAGTTGTGACAGTTTTCTAGTTAATGAGCGATATAATATCTTTCTTAAATACAGCCCAATTCAGTAATAACTAAATTATTGTTATTCAAATCGAAGGCAGAAAAATTTACATCCCTATATTCCCTAAGACCACAACAATTTTAGCTGTAAATTTGGGCAACAAGTTGTCGCCTCAGACCGCTACGCTGGGAAAAATTATGAACTTGTGTTCTTCTGCCGGTACAACAGAATCAACATCATCTTTGGCAGGTGTAGACAGTTCTAACGAAGGTGGCAGAAGTGGTTTTGGAAGTGTTTTGACCACCCATTGTTTCGGCAGTAGCAGCAACAGCAGCAGTAGCTGCGCCGCAGCTGTAACGACGAGTCTCACAACTAACCAAGGAAGTAGCGGCAGTGGCAGCGCTTGTGGTGGCGGTGCCAGCGGCAGTAGCCTTGGCAACAACAACGAAATGCCACCGGAAACACGACCTAAGGTGGTGACAGTTAAACACCCCGAATCTAACAAGCCTAAGCCTACGACAAAGAAAAGTAAACCCATACAAGCTGACCAGGATGTCGTTAAAGCACTTCAACGTTGCCGGGAAGAAGGTAACCACGCTGAATAATTATCTCGTAGTCTCCATTTATAATTATTTGTTTTGTTTTTAAGGCATAAAACGTTTGGATTTAAGTAAATCCTCCGTCACAGTTATACCAACATCAGTGAAAGAGTGCATTCATCTTACAGAACTTTATTTGTACAGCAACAAAATTAGTCAACTACCTAGTGAAATTGGGTGTTTGGTTAACTTAAAGACACTTGCATTAAATGAAAATTCTTTAACTTCGTTGCCAGAATCATTGCAGAATTGTAAGCAGCTTAAAGTTCTTGATTTAAGGCACAACAAGCTTGCCGAAATACCGGCGGTAATATATCGTCTGCGTTCACTGACCACACTCTATTTGCGATTCAACCGTATTATAGCGGTAGCCGCCGATATACGCAATTTAACTAATTTGACTATGTTGAGTTTGCGAGAAAACAAAATAAGGGAGCTTGGTTCAGCGATTGGTGCATTAGTAAATTTGACAACGCTAGATGTGTCCCACAACCACCTTGAACACTTGCCTGAGGAGATTGGCAAATGCGTGAATTTGAATGCATTGGATTTACAGCACAACGAGCTTTTGGATATACCAGAAACGATTGGCAATTTGAAATCTTTGGTCCGTTTGGGTTTAAGGTACATTCATAAATAAGCTAGAATACACTATATGATTATGAGCAATTTTTTTTTTGAAAATACCAGGATTCTTTCAGAGTTAGCTACCTAAGGCCGCCTTCAATATATGAATCCCGGTTCCCTTATTGCCGTTCGCACATTCCATTTTTGAATGCGCTTACACTCGGTTATATTTTACTTTGACGAGGAATTTCGTGTGCAAGAACAAAGAGTAGATAGATAGATATTAGTTGAGGTATGCACTGCGACCAAAAGATCTATTGTATCCAGAGTAACTAAACTATAATTTTATATTATTGTATTACATTTTGGCTAACGTAGCCGAGTGGTAAGAAATGTGGACATATAATCGGTAGGACCAACTTTCGAGCCACATCGAAACTAGGAAACGTTTTTTTTT